AAGAGAGGGGGGGGACGGGCGGGAACGGCTGTGCCCCCCCATTCTACGCCCCAAACGCGTTATCGGGGGGACAGAGCACCATAGGCGGGTCAGACCCCCCCGTACCCCGCTCTCCAAGCCCTGGGGGGGTCAAGGGGGCTGCACCCCACGGCGGGAGGGTCCCCGTTTCTACCCCCCCCAAAAAGCCCCGCAGCGCGGAGGGCGGAGGAGGCGGAGCGCGCCACTCGTCTCAGCCAATCAGCGATGCGATGGCGTTGATGGATGGGTTTTGCCGCCAATAGAAGCGCGGGGCGGGGGCGCTCGGCCCGCCCCCCGGGCCGGTATATAGGGGGGCGCCCGGGGGCGGCGGTAGCTGGTACTTGCGTCGATTCCTTGCTTGTCGGGACGAGTAACCGAGCCGCAGCCATGGTGAGGGGAAGGGGCTGCAAAATGCCGGGGCATGGTCCTGGAGAACGGAGGGGGAAAGGAGGAGCGTGGATGGGTCTGGGGGTGCGGGGGATTGGGTGCGGAGGGGAGGTGAGGAGAGGAGGGGGAAGAAGTGGCAGGGGGGAGATTTCGGGGGCAGGGGAATAAAGCAAAGGGGTAAAAGGGTGGGGGCCACCGTGTCGGGAAGTTGGGAGGGGATGGGGGGCACGGATGGGGACGTGGGTGGGTAGAGGAGGGGATGGGGGTGTTGAGCAGGGATGGAGGATGAGGTCCTTGATGGAGGGAGTATCTCTTGGGGGGGCGAGGGTGGGGAGGTCACGGCGCTCTTGCGGTGGTCGCACGTGGTCTCCGGTAGCCCACCGCTGGGGGCGGGGTCAGCCCGACCGTTACCGTTCCCGCGCGCGGGAAGGCGCGCGGCGGGGGCACAGCCCCGCCCCTCGCCCTGGGCACAGCCCCGCCCCCCCCATACCCACCCTTCCCCCCTAAATCCATCCTAAACCCAGCCCCCCACACAACCTCACTCTGCCCCGAAACACAAAATTCCATTTTTTCCCCCCACCCGAGCCAGTGATGCCCATCCCCCTCCATGGCTCATGGGGGTCACCCTCCGCTCCAGACCCCCCCACACCACGGGCTGCCCCCGGCCCGGGCGGGAGGAACGCGGGGAGCAGGTGGGGAATGTGCAGGGAGCGGCCGGGAATGTGCGCGACCCTCCGGGGCTGACGCCACCGGCCCATCCCCGCCGATTCGGGTCAGCTGCTGCTGCGTTCAGCTTCCTCTTCCTCCTCCTCCTCCCGACCTCGCCCTGCCCAGGCTGCCCGGCTGGAAAATGTCCTCCCCGGGCGCCATTTGGGAGCAGATGGTGGCAGCTGCGGGGTGGTGGCATCCTCACAGGTGGCTGCGGTCTGTTCCCAAGCACGGATGTCACCCCACAGATCGCTCGTCGGATCTTGGGTGGCCCCAGCAGAGCTCAGCCCCTCGTTGGGGTGGCAGTAGGGCATAAGTGGGGTTTGGGGGTGCTGAGCTTGAGGCCCTGTGAGATCTCTTCATCCCACCGAAGGCAGGGTTGTAGCTCCCGGGAGCGGCAGGATGAGACCCCCAGAGCTGAGCGCACTGAGATGTTCCCTGGGATATAGGGGTGTCCCTGCAGAGGGGGGTTCAGTGTTCCTGTCTCATAGGAGATTGGGAGTAGTGGGGAGCAGCATTAACCCTGAGGAGCCCCAATTCGCGGCTCTGTGGGGTGTGCAGGGTGAAGGGCACCAACTGGTGCAGGGTCTCGGCTCCTGGGGAAGGGGCAGTGGGATGGCACCCCCAAAACTGAGCACAACGGGAGCAACTGGGGCAGGGTCTGCCCCCATCCAGCCTTGAGGAGAGACCCTTTCCGACTCGATGGGTGCTAGGGGGGACAGAAGGGGTGACCCAGTGCCGTGTGCCCCCACAGCGCGAGTGCATCTCCATCCACGTGGGCCAAGCGGGCGTGCAGATCGGCAATGCGTGCTGGGAGCTGTACTGCCTGGAGCACGGCATCCAGCCCGACGGGCAGATGCCCAGCGACAAGACCATCGGCGGGGGGGACGACTCGTTCAACACCTTCTTCAGCGAGACGGGCGCCGGCAAGCACGTGCCCCGGGCCGTGTTCGTGGACCTGGAGCCCACGGTGATCGGTGAGCGCGCGGGGGGCGGCCGGCGGGCGGGGCGGGCGCTGGCGGCGGGCGCTGGCTGCTAACGGGGCCCGGGGCTGTCCCCGCAGACGAGGTGCGCACGGGCACGTACCGGCAGCTCTTCCACCCCGAGCAGCTGATCACGGGCAAGGAGGATGCGGCCAACAACTACGCCCGCGGGCACTACACCATCGGCAAGGAGATCATCGACCTGGTGCTCGACCGCATCCGCAAGCTGGTAGGGGCGCTGGGGGATGCAGGTCCCGTGGGGTGGGTTTGTCCCTGCGGGGGATGTGGGGACAAAGGGAAGCTCCGGGTGTGCCTGGGCAGCTGCTTTTCAGCCCATCAGCACTTTGGGGCAGAGAGTGGGGTTCTGCCAGGAGAGACTCCATACCTTCCTGGCTGGAGCTGTTGTGCCTCCAGGATCTGGATGGATTTGTTGTGTCAGCCTGCAGCACATCGTGGCTCCCTATGGGGTCTGGATGCTCTCAGTGATCATGATCAGCCCCTTGCCTTCCCCTTGACCTGAATCCCTTTATTCAAGGCTCTGCAGCCCCACCAGCACAGGATGTTCACCTTGAGCTTGGCAGGTTCCAGGGGTGTGATGGGGCTTGTGGGACTCTGTGTCATTTCAATCCCTGGGAAAACCTTATTTTACCCCTTTTTAAGGTCATGTGAGGTTTCTCCTTGATCTGGATGCTGATCCTGCTTGACCAACTGCTTATGTATGAGCAGCTGTGCCGAGTATTTAACTCTTGCTGGGGCAGCTCTTGTGGATTGCCCCTTCCCCCAAGCAGATTGCCAGGGTCATAGGAGGCAGCAGCTGAAGGGAGGGGGCAGGAAGGGGTCCCTTCTCCTGAGGGCAGGTCATGCTGGATCACAGGGTGCTGTGGCTGGAAGTGGAATGGACAGCGGTGCCCCAAAATTCTGAAATCCTTGTGGGAAATAATGTGTCTTCTTGGGCAAGTGAGCAACTTCAGTAACAGCTGAAGTTCAGAATTCCTGACAGTTTGGTCTTGTTTTCCCCTTCCCAACCTCTCAGGCTGACCAGTGCACAGGGCTGCAGGGCTTCCTGGTGTTCCACAGCTTTGGCGGTGGCACCGGCTCTGGCTTCACCTCCCTGCTCATGGAGCGCCTCTCTGTCGACTACGGCAAGAAGTCCAAGCTGGAGTTCTCCATCTACCCAGCCCCGCAGGTGTCCACAGCCGTGGTGGAGCCCTACAACTCCATCCTGACCACCCACACCACCCTGGAGCACTCCGACTGCGCCTTCATGGTGGACAACGAGGCCATCTACGACATCTGCCGCCGCAACCTGGACATCGAGCGCCCCACCTACACCAACCTGAACCGCCTCATCAGCCAGATCGTGTCCTCCATCACGGCCTCTCTGCGCTTTGACGGAGCCCTGAACGTCGACCTGACAGAATTCCAGACCAACCTGGTGCCCTACCCCCGCATCCACTTCCCTCTGGCCACCTACGCCCCGGTTATCTCTGCTGAGAAGGCTTATCACGAGCAGCTCTCGGTGGCTGAGATCACCAACGCCTGCTTTGAGCCGGCCAACCAGATGGTCAAGTGTGACCCTCGGCACGGCAAGTACATGGCGTGCTGCCTGCTGTACCGCGGGGACGTGGTGCCCAAGGATGTCAACGCCGCCATCGCCACCATCAAGACCAAGCGTAGCATCCAGTTTGTGGACTGGTGCCCCACTGGTTTCAAGGTTGGCATCAACTACCAGCCCCCCACGGTGGTGCCCGGCGGCGACCTGGCCAAGGTGCAGAGGGCTGTGTGCATGCTGAGCAACACCACGGCCATCGCCGAGGCCTGGGCCCGCCTGGACCACAAGTTTGACCTGATGTACGCCAAGAGGGCCTTTGTGCACTGGTACGTGGGGGAGGGCATGGAGGAGGGCGAGTTCTCGGAGGCCCGTGAGGATATGGCAGCCCTGGAGAAGGATTATGAGGAGGTGGGGGTGGATTCTGTGGAAGGGGAGGGAGAGGAGGAAGGGGAAGAATACTAAACTGGGTTCCTTCTGTCGCTGTCGCATGTCCACGAAATGTCTGCTTCAAACACTTGAGCTTCCTTGTGCACTGCGTGGGGTTCAGCTCCGTGGGCTCGGCCAGGGTTGTGCTGCCCTCTCGGATGTGATCATGCAGATTTTCCATGTGTCTGTGATTTTACCGTGTCTGTGAATAAAAGGCTTTAAGAGAAGCTACGCTGTGTCGGATACAAACCCTCTGTGTCAGTGCCCGCTCTCACCCGGGCCGGCTGGCCCCGTCCCATGGGAACAGACTGTCCCTATTGTCTGTGCCCAGTCAGGCAGCTGGCATGGTACCGCTGTTACCCGAGCTGCCCAGCAGGGCTGGGGGGGTGATGCCCCCACATCGCTGGGTTCCACAGGGTGGGGCCTCACCCTGCGTGCTGCTGTGCTCCTTCATGTGCTGCCTATGAGCGGGGCCGTGCCCTGCTGGGTGCCCCCAGCGCTCGGCAGCCCAGCCCTGCCCCCCTCCGTGATTAACACACCCGGGATTATCCCCAGCCCGGGATTAACTCCATCCCTGCTCCTAATTCCGGTCGCTGCACTGGGGCCGCCGGCCCGTGGGAGCGGCGGCGGGCGGGCTTCGCCAATCAGCGCGCGGCGCGCCGCACTTCAGCCAATGAGCTCCGCCTCATTCAAGCCTCTTAGCCAATAGGCGGCAGGGGGCGGGGGCTGCCTGGCCGTTCATCCCGTGAGGGAGCGGATACTTTGTAGCGCGTAGGGGGCGTGGCCACGGGAGGGGCGGGGCCTAAACGGCGGTGCTGGGCTGGACCCGGCGGGCTCCGAGCGGCGTTACCGGAACGGTACCGGAGCGGCTGGAGCGGCGTGGCGGTACCGGCCTTGCCGCCCGGCCCTGCCATGCTGGCCGCAGAATGGCCCCTGTGGAGCAGGACGCGCTGGCCGTGCGGGAGCAGCTCTTCCACGAGAGGGTCCGCGAGTGCATCGTGAGTGCCCGGGGGCGGCGGGGAAAGGGATCGGTGTGGCGGGGAGAGGTGGGAGGGTGGCTGGGAGCTCGCAGCTCTCCATGGGACCGTGGGGATCGCACGGCTGTGGCAGGGCTCCACACCCCGCTCTTATCCGGGCCAGAGCCTCCGCGGCCGCATGTGCCCAGCAGATATCGGGGTGCCAGGGCTGGACCCTCCTGAGCTCCTGCCGCGACCCCTCTGCCGGTTCCAGCAGTCCCAGCCGTGCTCCCGTCGTGCTGAGAGGGCTGGGAGTGCTGTGGTGGTGTCAGAGCCAGGCCAGCCCTGTGCCGGGCTCCTGGCTCTGTCCTTGTCCCCAGGCCAGCAGGACCCTACAGAGCCCCTAAACCTCGGACACAGCTGGGTTTGCTCCTCTGCTCCTCTGCTCCGGGATGGGGATGACCTGGATGTTCCGGTCCTGGCATCTCCCAGGGGCCTTGGGGGTGCTGTGGACGCAGCAGCCAAGGGGGCTGTGACCAACAGTGCCAAGGCCACCTTGGCACAGTCACATTTGGTGCCTACAGGGCAGAGCTGGTGGCCCTGGAGCCCCTACACATCCATCTTGGGGTGCTACATCTCAGCCAGGAGCTCCTGGTTTGGCAGACAAAACTTACTCAGCCCAACTTCACTGAGTAGAAGAGGAGTTGGGGGTCCCCCCACCAGGCAGAGCATCGGTTTGTGGGGTACAGCCCATGGCAGGAGGGAATCTGTGGCCTGAGACCCTTCACTGGGTGGGAGCAGGAGCAGAAGGACCTGCTGGGTGCTGCCCTTCCGAGAGCGCAGAGCTGGGCCAGCTTTGGGGGCTCCCTGGCACCCCACTGGCACATCCTGGGCACCTCAGGTGGGCTCAGAGCACCCCTAGACAGGCAGGAGGGCGGTGCCACAGCTGCTTCCCGCTGCACCTGTGCCAAGGTGGAGGATTCAGGCGACCTTTCCTCATCCTGCCGCGTTCCCAGAGGGATGAAAGGTCGCCGTGTTCCCTGAACATCGCCTGCGCTGGCCTGACCTCGGCGTTCCAGCGGGGGCAGCAGGGACACCGCAGATGTCCTTGGCTCCTGACTCAAGGCTGTCCTCGTGGCTCTGCCAGCAAGGCCAGGGCTGTGGGATCCAGCAGATCAGGGATGTCCCACGGGGTCACAGAATTGCCAGCACGGGCTGATCTTGGGTGGGTTTTCAGCTCCCCCACCCCGGTCTGGGTGCTGTGCCAGCTTGTGGGCACCCATGTGTGAGCCCTGGGTGCAGTGCCCATTGAACAGAGAGGTCTGAGCACACCAGTGGGGTGGAACCAGGAGTGGAAAAACAAATAGGGTGGAGCTGACAAGCCCCAGGGCTGGCAGCATCCCCTCAGGGCATGCCCACGCTCCTGTGCCCACAGATCTGTGCCCTGCTCTTTGCCAGCCTCTACATCCTCTGCCACTTCATCATAACCCACTTTAAGAAGCACACGGATTTCACAGCAGGTAAGAGAGTGGGAGCTGCCAGAGCCAGGCAGCCCTTGACAGCCAAATTCATCCTCTAAGGGTTCTTCCTCTTCCTCATTGCTTTTGGCCTCCCCCAGCATCCCCAGTCCCACCATTAATGTGACACCAATTGCTGCCCTAGGTGGGAGCAAAGCCAGAATTCCCTGGGAGGATTTCTGCAGCATTTGGAGAGGGGAGAACTTGGGCAGGGGGAGGCAGTGATGCTCTGGGCAGCCCTGCCTCTCCCCCAGCCCTTTGGTTTGGGATTTTGTCCCCACAGTTCACGATGACGAGGACGCTGCTGTCAACAGGATTGCGTGAGTTCCTGTTTGTGCCCTTCCTCATCCTCTTCCTCAGCCAGGACACCATGTCCTATGTGCTGGTGGTGCTGGGGGGTAAAACTGGGCTGTGACAGCCAGAGGGACCCTAACCCAGAGTGATTCTTGTCCCTGTGGCAGGTTGGGGCTCTGTACCTTCACCCTGGCTGTGGCACTGGGTGCTGTCCTGCTCCTGCCCTTCTCCATCATCAGCAACGAGGTGCTGCTCTCCTTCCCCCAGAATTACTACATCCAGTGGCTGAACGGCTCCCTCATCCATGGTGGGTGACCCTGGGGTGTCCCCAAAATCTGTGGGGTCAGCATTGCCCTGCCTGGGAGCTCACCCCATGCTGTCCCCCCTCTTCCAGGCCTCTGGAATTTGGTTTTCCTCTTCTCCAACATGTCCCTGGTCTTCCTCATGCCCTTTGCCTACTTCTTCACCGAGTCAGAGGGGTTTGCAGGATCCAAGAAGGTGGGTGATCCTGCACTTGTCCCCCTCCCTGTCCCCCCTTTTGTGAGTCCCTGCTAACCCAGCTCCTGCAGGGCATCATGGCCAGGGTGTACGAGACCTCGGTGGTGCTGCTGCTGCTGACCCTGCTGGTGCTGGGCATGGTCTGGGTGGCCTCTGCCATCGTGGGCAACGACGCTGCCAGTCGCCAGTCACTCTACGGTGGGTGAGCTGGGCTCTAGACCCTGGCACTGAGTGGAACAAGGGGTTTCTGGTGTCACTGGCCTGATCCTGCTGTCTCTGCAGATCTCTGGGAATATTACCTGCCCTACCTCTACTCCTGCATCTCGCTTTTCGGTGTCCTGCTGCTGCTGTGTAAGTTGTGTCCTCACGAGGCTCTGCTCCGTCCAAATGGGGTCTGGAGGGGTCATGGCTCATGGCTGAAGCCTCCAGGATCCTTCTGAGGGTGTGGGGAGGGGTAGGATGATGGGACACCTCCTGCTTAGCCTCTCCTCCCACCACAGTGTGCACCCCCTTTGGCCTCTCCACCATGTTCGCTGTCACTGGGAAGCTGCTGGTGAAACCCCGGGTAAGGCGTCACCCCACAATCCCTCTGCCCCAGATTTGGGGGTGACTGCCCCCAGGGCTGCCATCCACACAGCCCAGCAGCCACTCACAGGCTCCTCACCCACCCTTGCAGCTCCTGGAGGACCTGGATGAGCAGCTGAGCTGCACAAGGTTTGAGGAAGCCGCTGTGTCCCACAGGATCCGCTCTGGTGGGTGCTGCTGCTTGGCAAAGGGGGGCACGGGGTGCATTGGGGGACCCTGTACCCCACCTCATCCCTCCTGAGCCCCTTGGGTCTCTCCCCAGCAGGCACAGCTTCGTGCTGGCTGAATCTGGACATGGAGATGCTGCGGGAGCAATTCTTTGCCATCCGGAGCAAGAGGAGGAAGTTGGGTGAGGAGCATGGCTGGGGGAAAGGGACACTGGGTGCCCTCCAGCCTGGCCCTGGGAGAACTGGGCACTGGAAATCCATGGAGGGAGATGGGCTGGGGGCTGGCACCCCCCATCCTGCCCCCTCAATCTCCTGCCCTGTGCCCCTCTCTCACGTGGGCACCTCCTCCCCACAGAGCTGCGGCACCGAGCATCGCCCTGGCAGAGGAACCTGGGCTACCCCCTGGCCATGCTGGGCCTCCTGGCACTCACAGTGAGTTCAGGGCTCTCAGGGGAGCTGGGGGTGTTGTCCCCATCCTCAGCACCGCCCTCAGTCCCTCCCTGCTCCTCCCAGGGCATCTCTGTGCTCATTGTCTGCTTCCACGTCCTGGAGCTGCTGCTGGACGATGCTGCCATGCCAAGGGGCATCCAGGTACCCACCTACAAGGAGCATCCCCCTACCCGCCTAGAGGCATGGCACAGCTCAGGATGGTGTCCCTGGCAGCTCTGGGGACCATTCCTCCCCAACCTGTTCCCTCCTCTTCCCGCAGGATGCGTCCCTGGGCCAGGTTTCCTTCTCCATCTTTGGTTCCTTTGGAGCTGCGCTGCAGGTCGTGCTCATTTTGTATCCTTCAGGCGGGCACTTGTGTCCCCAGCCATGTCCCCTGTGTCCCCATCATTATTCGCAGTGCCAGCCCATCCTGTTTTCCTCCTTAACACTCCTTGCAGCTACCTAATGCTCTCCTCTGTCGTGGGCTTCTATAGCTCCCCCCTGTTCACTCGGCTGCTGCCAGAGAGGCAGGACACCCCCCTCACCAAGGTGGGAGCAGCAGGGTGGGGATGGGGGGCTCCTGTGGGGGTGCAAGACCCTTTCCCTACTCTGTGTGTCCCTCCCACATGGGAGGACAGTGCCAGGCAGGACCTCTCTGTGGTTCCCTGGCATCTGGAAAGTTCCTTCCCCAAACCTCCTCCTTCTCCCCAGATCATTGGGAACTGTGTCTCCTTGCTGGTGCTCAGCTCAGCCCTGCCTGTCTTCTCCAGGACACTGGGTGAGCTCCCAGAGGGATCAGGGTGATGCCTGCATGGGGGTGACCCCAAAATCGGGGTGCCCTGACCAATGTACCCCCACCCTGTGCAGGCATCACCCGTTTTGACCTCCTGGGGGATTTTGGCCGCTTCAACTGGCTGGGGAACTTCTACATTGTCTTCCTGTACAACATGGGCTTTGCTGGGCTCACCACGCTGTGCCTGGTCAAAAGGGTCTCCTGGGCAGTGCAGGCCGAGCTCATCCGTGCCTTTGGTGAGGACATGGGGACACAGGGGTGGCTGCTGGGGTGTCCCCTGTGCCCCAGCCTGGCTCTCACGCTCTCCCCGTGTCCAGGTCTGCACAAGCTGCCGCTGCCCGTGACGCGCTGCAGGACCCGCAGCAAGCCCTGCTAGGGCTGGGGGACAGCGGGGGACGGGGACGTGTCCCCCCCCTCCTCTCTCCTCACTGTGGTGGCCACCAGGGTGGCTGCCAGCCCCAGAGCTGGCCCTGACAGCGCCTGGAGCCTCAGGGACATCAGAGCCCCTCAGGGAAAGCTGAGACACCTTTGGGGTTGCCCCTCCTGCTCTGTCTCAGCTCTTGTGCTGCTGAGCCTTGGCCTTGAGCCACGTCCCCAAGGGGGGTGGGGTCCCCCCGAGGCTGTGCTGGCTGCAGCCCCCCCACCCCACCCCCCATTTACATACCTCGTGCAACAATGGCTGGGATCCCCCACCCACCCCGACCTCCCCTGGCTGCTCCCTGGGGTCTGGTTGAGTTTTAAATGCTGCCCCACCTGTCCTGTGCCCGGAGCCACTCCACACCCCACCCCTGTGTCACTCTGGGGCTGCAGGGGGACACTGGTTGTCCCCTGCCCACCCTGAGGCCTTTGGGGGTCCCTAATGGGGAGGCCTGGGGTGCAGGGGACAATCCCCCCTTCTCCAGTTCCTCACGTGTATGTTGGGTCTGTTACAACAGAAATTGTTTGGAGAAATAAATAGTGACTGGTTTTTTATATAAAAATATTGGGGTTTTATTCCTCCCAAGGGCAGGGCTGAGTAGGAAAGGGGCAGGGGTGGGGTGTCCCTGCCTTGGAGGGGGGGTCACAGTCCTGCCCCTCCTTATGGGCCCTATGGGGACATAATTAACCCTCTTCCTGCTTGGGGTTAACGAGCTTCTTCCAGGCAGGGCTGCAAGCGAGGGCAACTCCTTGCCTGCTGACCTCGGGGGCGTTGGGGGGCTCCGGGAGGCTTTGGGGTACGGGCTGAGCTCCCCCACATGAGGGGCAAAGCAGAGGCTTCACCTCCTGGCACCGAGGGTCGTGCAGCCGGAACGGAAACTGCCCCGGGAACCGGGGGAACCGGCCCCCCACCCATCCTGCCCCGCCTGGGGCCGAGCCAGGCCGCCCCCCGCCCCTCCATGGCAGGGATGGGGGGCCCAGGCCCCCCCCGGCCGCCCCCCCCCGGGCTGGGGCCGAGCAGGAAGCGCAGGAAGCCTGGTTTATATTGCAGGAAATGAGGCCATCGGTGCCCGCGATTTCCCCGCGACCTGCTCCCCTCCCAGTCACCCCGGGCTGGCACCGGGGCTGCGGGGGAGCTGGGAGGGGACCGGGACCCCCCCCTCCGAGTCATTCCCGACCTTCCACGACCCCGCTGCTGCCTCCCGCCCTCGCCGGGGCCCGCAGTGCCCTTGGGTGCTCTGCCGGTAGCGCCGGAGGCACGGTCCCGGTGCCGGTCCGGGGGTGCCCATGGCACTGTCGGAGCCCGGTGCCAGTCCCGGAGCAGCCCAGCCCCGTTCTCGGCGGTACCCGGACCCCTGGCACAGCCCCGGTGCCGCTCAGGGGGTGCCCCGGTCCCTCTCTGGGGGTGCCCCGGTGCCGTTCCGGGGATGCCCCGGTCCCGTTCTGGGCGTGCGCCGGTGCCGTTCCGGGGGTGCCCCGGTGCCGGGGCGCGGCGGGGCCGGCCGGGGCAGGGCAGCCCGGTGGGGGCGGCCCCGGGGGATGTGACCGCCGCTGCCGCCGCTCCCGGGGGCCGGCTCCGAGGCGGGGCCCGACGGGGCTGCCCAGCGGCGGAGCCGAGCGGCCGCGGTGGGGGCAGCCCGGCCGGGGCGGCGCACGGTGCCGATCAGCACCCAGGGCAGCCGGTACCGGGGGCTGGGCCAGGAACGGGGACCGGGACCGTGGGTCGGACAGAACAGAGGGGACCGGGGTAGTGCCAGGGAGCGGGTCCCGGGAGCGGGGCTGTGCCAAGGGGACGGAGCAGGTGCGGACACCGGCGGCACTGCCTTAGAATAAGGAGGATCCTCGGTGCAAGGGAGAGCGGGAGGAGGAGAAGGACCGGGACGGGGAGTGAGGGGTCCCCGGGGAGAGCGGGAGGAGGAGAAGGACCGGGACGGGGAGTGAGGGGTCCCCGGTCCCAGCAGGCGGTGACAGGAGAGGTGCCAGGACCAGAATCGCGGCGTTCGGATGGGATAAGGGAGGGTTCCGGTACCGGAGAGCAGCGCAGGGACCGCGGAGAGGAGGCGGCACCAGAACGCGGGATTTAGACGGGAACGGGGAGCAAGACCGGTGCCGGTCCCGGGGCAGCTTTAGGAACCGGTGCCAGTGCCAGGGCAGTGCCCGGAGCTGGATGCCGGTGCCCGGTGCTGACACACCGTTCCGCGAGGGTTTTCCCTAAGGCTGGGGCTGTGTCGGGACCGGGGTGCAGGGAGGGGGTGCTGACACCGTGGGCGCGCAACCGGCGGCGCTCCGAGTGGGTGGCGGCACCGGCGGGGGGGGTACGGGGGGGGTGGTCAATCGTCCCGAGCGGCCACGGATCCCGCAGCAGCGCCGGGACCGTGGGTGTGAGAAGGAAACGGCGCCGACCCGCCCCTGGCACCGCGACCAACTAAAAACCCCGGGGCCACCGCACCGGGACCATGCCCGCCCCGGCCGCCCGTGCCCCCGCTGATTGAGCGGGAGCCGCGGAGGCAGCGGGGCCCGGCGGGCGGGATGCCCCGGTGGAGGCCGCTCGCCCTCGTCCTGCTCGGGCTCGCCGCCTCCCTGCTGGCCGCGCCGGTGCTGGGCTGCGGCCCCGGTCGGGGCCCGGTGGGGCGGCGGCGGCTGGGGCGGCGGCAGCTCTCGCCTCTGCTCTACAAGCAGTTCGTGCCCAACGTGCCCGAGCAGACGCTGGGGGCGAGCGGGAAGGCGGAGGGCAAAGTGCTGCGGGGCTCGGAGCGCTTCAGGGAGCTGGTGCCCAACTACAACCCCGACATCATCTTCAAGGACGAGGAGAACACGGGGGCGGACCGGCTCATGACCGAGGTGGGGGCTGCGCCCGGCCCGGCCCGGTCCGGCCTCGCTCCCGGGGGCGCGGGGGCGTGGGGGGCGGCGGGGGGGATGGGCGGGATCACAGCGACCCTCGACGGGGCCCATGAACATTTCTCAGTCGGCACCGACGCGCTCAGGGGCTCACGGAGCTTTCCCGGTCGCCACCGATGCTCTCCAAGGCGCACCGATCGTGCCGGGGCTCACGGATCCTCCCGGGCGGCACCGATCCTCCCGGGGCGCAGGGTCCCTCCCGGTGCCGTACCTCGGTACCTCGCCCCGGTGCCCCGCTCCCTTCCACGGCAGCGGCGCGGCAGCACCGGAGCCCCGGGACGAGGCGGGATTGTCGGGGATTAACGGGACGGGGCGGCACCGGGGGCACCGGCGGTACCGGCAGCGCCGCAAGGACAGCGCGGAGGGGGAAGCCCCGGTACCCCTCTCTCTGCTCGGGGGGGAACCGGGGCGGCGGGAGCCCGGGACGCGCCGCGAGCCCGCCGGGATGCTCACGGTTGCCATGGCGAGGGGCGGCCCCGCGGTCGCCATGGCGGCGGGGGATGCTGAGAGTGGTCCAGGCGGCGCCGGCAGCTCCCGCGAGCCGGGACGGCGGAGGCGGCGGGGCCGGGACGGCGGAGCCGCGGGCACGGAGCCGGCCCGGGCTGCGGGCGGCTGAAAGGGCCCTTTGTGGCCGCGGCGGCATTCCCGGGGCCTGAGGTCAGCTCCGGGCTGGAAGGCGCCTATTGTGGCCGGGCCGGGCCGGGCCGGGCCGAGCGCATTCCTGCCCCCCCTCCCGGCACGGCCGGGCCCGCGCCCCGCACTCCGCCCCCGCGGCCCCGCGCTCCCGGAGCCGCTTTGTTGAACGGGGGAGGCGGGGGGGACACTGGGGCACCGAGGGACGCTGTGACATCAGCAAATGCGGGGGGGGGGGGGACAGGGGCGGCTCCGACCCCTGCACCCCAATGCTGATGGGGAGAGGCGCCCCGGAACCGCCCTGCTCTCCGTCAGCCCAGATTTGGGGCTGGTTCAGGGACAGCCGCCCCCAGCTCTGCCTCACAGCCCCCCCAGCAGGTTAATCAGTCACAGCGGTGGCCGCGGGGAAGGTGACACCGTCGCGGTGCCCGTCCCGCTCCCGTGCCCGTTGTGCCCGGCTGAGCAGAGCAGCTTCATCACGGGACCCCGTTAAAGTTCAACCCGCACCCAGCCCCGGGGGCAGCTTGGCCGTGACCCTCTGTGCACCCCGGGTGGGGGCAGCCCCTTTGGGGACAGCCCTGGTGTGTGTCTGTCTGTCTGTCACGCCGAGGGTGACACCGGTGTCCCCACAGCGCTGCAAGGAGCGGGTGAACTCGCTGGCCATCGCCGTGATGAACATGTGGCCGGGGGTGAAGCTGAGGGTGACGGAGGGCTGGGATGAAGATGGGCACCACCTCCCCGACTCGCTGCACTACGAGGGCAGAGCTCTGGACATCACCACGTCCGACCGTGACCGCCACAAGTACGGCATGCTGGCACGGCTGGCCGTGGAGGCCGGCTTCGACTGGGTCTACTACGAGTCCAAGGCGCACATCCACGTCTCTGTCAAAGCAGGTACCAGCAGAAGGGGCTGCCAGCAGGGCAGGGGGCTGTAATTCCCATAAACATCCCAGCCCACAGCCCCTGCTGCTCCCCCTTGATGTCCTGGATCCGTGTGGGATTATTGCTCTGGTTGGTGTCAGCCCAAACCCAGCTCCTTCTGGCTCCCTAATTGGCAAAAACCTCATTTTCCCCTCCAAATTTTGGCCAGATGGAGATAAAATTGTGGTTCAGCTCCTGGTGAGGGGAATAGCAATGCAGCCCCACAGCCCCACAGTTGCTCCAGCCAGCAGTTGCCATCCAGCCCAGAAGTGCCAATTGACAGAAAGTGATCTGTGTGGGATTATTGTTCTGGTTGGTGTCAGCCCCAGCCCAGCTCCCCCTGTCCTACCTGTCCCCCTGATTGGCAAAATCCTCACTTTCCCCTCTAAATTTTGGCCAGATGGAGACAAAATTGTGGCTCAGCTCCTGTCCCCCACCAGGCAGGGGGCTGTAATTCCCTCAAACATCCCAGCTCACCAGCCTGCTGCTCCCCCTTGACATCCAGAT